AAGAGTTGAGCAATCATGTCTATTTCATCATCTTTCTTCTTCCAATTCTTACTACAGTACTAGATTATAGACAAGTCGTAGCGGATTATCCGATGATTCGCGAATCAATGTGCCTAGCTAGATACCCTAAAACACATGCCCTACTTGTACCTCAGGCACAAGTAGAACCAACCCATCACTCTCTTGTCAAGGGGTCCAGGTCCCCGTCCAAACTTGGACTCCAAACCTCCACACCTGAGTCCCAGACTTAGTGTGGTGCTTAGACCTCCACCATCCCCGCCTCCAATCAGTCGGTCCGGAAAGAGTCGGAACCCACGACAAGAGAACAACGAGCCTTCCCTGCTCCCATAAATAAGTATGTGCTCAGGATAATAAGTCTATGACCTGACTAGAATCCACTGCAATGGCCGGTCCTTAACCGACACAGATAGAGAAAATAGTGTAACCAAGCTATGCCCCGTTGGTCACGGGACACAACTCCTTACACCCACCAATACCCGTATCATATCCATGCACGGTCTCTATTTTTCCTTTCACCATTTTATCATAAGAATGATAATAATAATCATCTATTGTGAGTAACGGCAGGTTACTCACGCTACCAAAAATCCTAAGCATAGAAGCTACTCGATCTATGCTAGTAGGACTCATAGGTAGGTATATCTATGCATGTAGTTTTCATAAAATGCCTGTAATGTAAATGCACATCACATATATATCCAATGATCATTCAAAATAAGGGTTATGCACCAGGGCGTGCCTTGGGCAGGCGTGGTGTCAGCAAAGCCAGTCGCTGGTGGCTCCGGGGCTCCCTCCTATATAAGAATCTTCTCCTTGTACTCTTCAATTACCTCCTCGTACTCCTGCTCGCCCGCGGTCACGAACTCTACCAACTCATTATCTACATGCATGAAATGATAATGCAACACTTAGTAATACGGCAACAACAACTCTTAAAATAAGAATACATCTACCAAGCTAACTCTAATGACTAAGATGCTAAGCTACCCATCATTTCCACTAAATAGGTATGAAACATTCAAGTATTATGTTAGCAATAAAAATGCATCTCTTACTTTATTTCCGATTTCATAGATACTAAAACAAGGAGTACTTAACTACCCTATTTATCATCCTATTCTAAGGCTACAAAAAATTACAGTGAACACATAATAATCTAACCAACCTACTGTAAAAATTTCATGGTCAAAGCTATTACCAATTTACCACAAAAAATCCTACAAATATTAAACTAAATAATGCTAAGCTTTCCTAAATGAATTAATGAACCTAACATCCTTACAGATAACTGTAAACTAACTACACCAACAGATAGATCATATTTTTATGATCCTAACAAATTTTGTTTCACTATTTTTGGACACCTATAAAATTTACTATAATTTTCTAAAGATCAGCTCAAAACTAAATTAGAGAAACATTTGCTAATTTGTTGGAAAAAGAAAAACCAATCCTCATGCATGCCCATCCGCAGCTGCCACATGCCATGACCAGACGCAGATGCGGGACGAGCCCACACGCATAAACGATATGATGGGGAAGCCAGCAGCAGCCGTTACTCTTGCAAAAACAACCCTAAACTCTGGGCAAACAAACCTGCAGTCCCATGTCACTGTTCCTAGAGAGAGCAACTATGCAACGAAACCCTCGAAAACTCCCTCCTTTACAACGGCATGGTCCATGGCCACTCGCACGCGCTGCCAACTTCGTAAAAACACCCCCGCGCTAAGACCGAATCAATCCATAGTCCACAGCACTATTTCCCAAGAGGGAGATTATGTAGATGGGACCCTGCAATCTATCGCCTCTACCTTAGCCAGGTCCCTGGCCACCCCTGCGTGCGCTGGCGCGGCGGACGCGGCACTGGACAACCACACCGGCCAACCGAGACCTGCCCCGGCCCAGATAGCGGGCCGATCTACACCTACAACCCTAGCGCCTACACTAGCCAAGGTTATAGAAGCGGCGGAGCTCACGGAAGTGGTGACCACGGCATGCGGCCATGCACGACAGCGGCGCGACCATGCCGGCCACCCTAAGCCACCGTGGGGTGAACTAGCTAGCGCTATAGCATCACTATCGTACCCTGTTTGTGGCTGTGGTGATGGTTTGGCTGGGGATTCCCTGAACCGGGCTGGCCACGTGCGGCCGAGCTTGGTGGCGGTGCACTACGGTGACACGGTCACGTTAGCAACGAAGGCGAGCCGATAGCGACTAGGCTGATGTGCGCAGGGTGAAGGAAAGAGCTAGGCGAAGGTAGTGGTACAACGAATTGGACAGTGGGCGAATGACGAGCGAGTTGTCGGCGCCTACGGCCAAACGTGGCCTTAACGGCTCGCTGGGGCGAAAATGCCAAATTGGCGCCCGGCCAGCCGTCATCAAGGTTGTGGGTGGCTTAGGCGGTGAGAGGACAAGAGAGCGTAGGTGTAGACGTGCGGAATTAATGAGAGGCACCTCATGCGTCCAGGAATTGTCGCGGTGCAGCAGCGGCGGCAGGGGAACACGGGCGGACGGCGTGGCAGTGAGCTTGGCTCATCCATGCCTTGGCGGGACGCGAGCGGCGATACCAGAAGACCCACACGCCACCGCTAGCCGATGGACATGCGCGCCCGACCAGCGTGGCCCGCGCGGCTGCAGTGCCATAAATGGCAACGTGACGGCGACGCGCACGGCCACGTGCGAACGGCACCCCACCGGGCCAGGGGAAAAGCAACGCGATGCAGCACGCGCACAGGAGCGACACGACGGCAGCGGCAGCGTCGCGGCGCGAGGCTGTAGAGGCGGACACGACGGCAGAGCAATAGCGGGATGGGACGCTCGCGCGTCAGGGTGACACGGCATCCAGGGCACCGGGCCCGCTTGGCGGCAACACCGTGCGCCCAGGCCGACCCGCCCACGGTGGCCGACCGAGCGCCGTGCTGCGCGCAGCTGCGCCAAGCGGCAGCGTCGCGCAGAGAGACGGTGATCACGCCTAATGCGCCGAGAAACAGCCTAGAACATGTTATGCACGGTTTTAAAAGCGTTCGAAAAATCTAAACCGTTGATCCAATCCCCAAACCACATTTGCTATGCCTTAAAGGATACATTAGGCTACCGAAACTAACTATAATACCGCACCACTCCTTAACCAAATTTCTCAGCAAAAATTACCAAACATAGCTTTGTCAATTTATTTTCAGACTTAAGAAATCGACCAAGTCTGGTGTTGGATTTTCTTCAAATTCGATTTTCAAGCTATTAGAAATGTTAGCTAGTGATATCATTTTTGCTTAATAAAAATGGTTTTAAACCCTAAGTGATATAACATGACTATGAAATTAACTTTCGTTTCGCACTTCCGTTGATCGTTTTGAGTTACGGAAGTCGATCTACACTCTTTATTACATGCATTAACACATAAACATGATGCTCATGATATGTTTTAGTAAGTGATTTGCAGTGTAACACCGATGGTGTTACAAGAATTTTCTCCAAGGCCCCCTCGGAATATGGGGAATTTTTATGTTTTCTACATTTTTATGAAAAAACGATTTATATGAAATTTTTATATAATTTCTATGAAATCTGTGTTCTAAAAGTTGAAAAGGTCCTAAAATGAGAGGGGTTCTGACTTCTGAGTTCCGGCAGAAAGTTGGTGCACGGTAGACATACTTTTATTACATTTCTTCCTTTTCGTCATGGTCCATTGGCCCCCTCAAATAGTCAAGTTGGACTTTGGATCACTGCCTGCAGCTGCCATTCATGTTGTTTTGCGACGACAATTAAAGGTCAAAATGGTCAATCCACATATGCAGCTGCTATCAGTCTGGCTTGATGGCACATGGCACCTTTGTTGGTCACGAGTCATAGACACCCTCAATTTCTCGACTGACGCCAATTTAATCGTTTCTTTGATTTTTGTCCAATCATCAGCCCTTCATAGAACTGAGGGTGTCTATGACTGTACGAGTTATGACGATTAATTCTGACAGTTTAAATTACAGCAGCTAGCAGTAGGCCTCATCGAGAGACGGTCTCTAGGAATTTGGGGGCCTGATGGCCTGATGTAAATTACATATGGAGCCCTAAAATTTGAAATTCATATGATCCAAACACTTTCTCGACGGCCGGCAAGAAAAGTAATGCATCCATACATCGATACACGACACATCGCAGAATATGGTGGCCGATGGTAGGGACAAGGAGACAAACAAGTGAACTAGCGCATGGCCAAAGGGGCGACGTCTCCTTCAAATCTTTAGAGTAGGGAGGGTCAAATCAGTAAGCATCACATATGAGGCATTTCGTCCTGTTTGTTTGTGCTTGTTTGGCTGATAAGCCATGGCTGAAAGTACTGTTGGCTGATTTGGTGTGAGAGAAAAATATTGTTCGTTGGCTGATAAGCCATGGCTTATAAGCCAAACACGACCAAGCGAACATGCTGTTTGTTGGCTTGGGGACTTTACCTTTTATTCATGATCGTGTACTTAAAAGATAAATATGTAATTTGGGGGCCCTAATTTTTATGGCTCCTGTGCAATCGCCCACCCCTGACCCTGCTGATGGACGGGCCTGCTCATCGATCACAATGCCCATTTCCGCTCGCATGTTAGGTCAAGTCCAAATACTCTTGACTTCGTCAATAAATTCCAAAGTTTGCAACCATGTAAAGTCACAGCTTCACCCCAATTCCAACGTTCCAGCCACAATTGCAAGGCAAACATAGTTTGGTCTGTGAAGAAAGAATGGCCATTTCGTCGTTCAGAAAAAGAATGGCCACTCCATCCCTGTTGGTCGTTATCATGACTCGAAAGTTTTCTGCAAAACTTTGTCTTTTGTATAATAAAAGTTTAATGCGCCTATGTGAGAGAGGTTGCTTGCACACGCCCGCCGCTACGAACGCCGCCGTTCACAACACATCACACCAGTGCCAGTTTGTGCGCCCTATATAGTCCACTGACCCAAGTGCTGAACCACAACAACCTCCCCACTCCCCAGCCATGCCAGCTCCTCTTCCGACGATCATTATCCTAGCCCTTGGTGCGGCCGCTCTGGGCGGCCCCGACGCGCTCCGCGTCCTTCTCGAGTTCACGGGGCAGAGCCCCTGCCTCGACATCGCCATCTGCGTATTCGTCATGTTCGTGGTCACCGCGTACCTTCTCGGCGCCGTGCTCCTCGTGCGCTTCGTCCGCGACGCGCGGTCCGGAGACGCCGCCGGCGCGGGCGGTGGAGCTCAGGGACACGGGGCAGCGGCGGCGGCCACGGATTGCCTCGCGCAGGTGAGCCTGCTGGTGTCGGCGTGCGTGGGGTTCCTCGTCGCCGCGTGCCTCATCGCGCTGCCGTCCGTCACGTTCGGCGGCCTTGGCACACTCAGCTTCTTAACGTACACGTACTTCGACGGCAAGAACTCCTTCGTCGCCGTCGCCGTCGCCGTCATTGCCGCCGCCGCATCAGCCACCTCGGTCCGCTTCACCAGGCGTCTGCTCCGCTTCGTTCGCGGTCGCGGGGAGGGAAATGCAGGGGACGACGGCCACGGCCCCGCCGCGCGCGGGTCGGGGCGCTTCTCCAGGACGAGGCAGACGGGGTGCTTCCTCTTCATCGCTCTGCTCCTCGCCGCCGTCTCTTCCGCCGCGTCCGGTGGCCTCAACCTCGACGCAAAGCGCATCTTCCCCGTCTTCCCGTTCCGGAGCTCGATCACCAACGTCTACGTGCCCGTTGGCGTCGCAATCGCCACGGTCGCTGGCACAGCGCTTGTCGTCCGCTTCTCCCGCAGGGTGCGTAATGCCGCCGGAGGGGGCGGCCTCCTCGCTATGCCGTACGCGCACTCCCAGTCCGGGAGCGAGTCGGACGGCGGGGAGCACGCAGACTCTGCTTGAAACTATGATGCCCGTGTCGCAGGCGGCTGTGCAGTGTGCAGTGCAGCAACAGGTTTCTAGTAACGGTACTCGAGGCATGTCGGAACGGTAGAACTGAATTCGAGGCATGTATTCTTAGCAAGTCAGCATCATGACTTCATTAGTAGTGAAAATTCACGAGGTGTTTGTGTATAGATGGGGTGAGATTGTACAGTTTATGGACGATGAATTTGCTAATGTCTTTGGTTGCTAATGTACAGTTTATACATCATGATTGTATAGATGGAGGCATGTACAGTGTGTGGATCATGTCCGGTTTCAGTAGGTTGAAGTCGCTCATCCAGCTCCTATTATGATTTTGGTTGTTTTCTACATGCTGCGTTTTTTTTTTGCGGGGTTGCATGCTGCTTCGTTGCGTGAGCCGTAAAAATGTAATTCTTTTTATGAACGCCACGCGAGTGGAGGGACTTGGGAGGGGTTTCTTTTCGGTAATCGCTGATCACCGTTGCTATTCGTGTAAACCATTCTACTTCCTCTTAACGAAAAACGTATCACACGGCACGACCGCGATTTTTTTTTTTTGGCTAATGTCTTTCGTGGATGATATTTTCATCCAACCGAGATTAACTACGAGCTTCATAGTGATTCAGAACAGAAACGAACTCAATCAAATTAAGCATCAGTTTGATGACTTGTGTTTGCCGTACGCTGAGGAAGTTGCTGGTGTACCTGCTGCACACGTTCGTCATCAACCAGGACCACCAGCACCGGGGATTCAATGGTGAGATGTCGTTCCTATTCAATCAAATGGAGTGGCACGTGCACGCGCATACCCTGTGTTTTTTTAGGAAACAGTTGGGCCGGAGCCCCCTACTGGAATGGTGATGATTTCAGGGGTGATGTTTGGTCCTGATTCCTGAATCTGAATGGATGGGCCTCGGGCGGTACGTTGGCTCTCCATTCCCTGTGCCTTCTGCTAGCACTTCTGGTAGGTTACCAGAAACCTTCTTCTAGCCTTCTAGTAGAGTACTAGTAGTACGTTTTAAAAGGGGAAAAAGCGAGGCATCTGCAGCTTTTATAGATTCATCACTCACTGAGAATGGAAGATGTGTGCCCTGTTTCACTTGCATGATAAGCCATAGCTAGAAATATCGTTAGCTAATTTGTTGGGAGAAAAAAATACTATTTATTAACTGAAAAATATGGTTTATAAGTTAAATGAACAGGGCGGTGATTGGTTTTTTTCCCTGAAAAGAACAGTTCAAAATGGGGTGTGCTACGTACCGCTACTACCCCACCTCCGGTCCTTAAAAAAGCACACAAAACGTATCCTTTTCAGATCTCATTCAGGCTGTCCTCTATGAACTCGGATCCTTTTGAGATCTCGCGGTGGATTCTGATTTCTGGATCCTTAAGCAACCCTATCGTCAGACGTCAGTCGACTCTGTTTGTGGTTCTTGTGGATATGCGCGACGGAAAAAAATATTGCGAGCCGGCACGATCGCAAGAAGAGGTGGGGGCCAGGCCAATGGAAATGAAAAAGGAACAAATATCATCACGTTCATACCACGGCCCCGTTCACTTTGCAAAAAAAGTGAACCCGATGAATAATAACATTTTTATCTTATTTGATAAATATTATCCAATCGTGGACCAACTAGGCTCAAAAGATTCATCTCGTAATTTCCAACTAAACTGTGTAATTAGTTATTTTTTTTACCTACATTTAATACTCTATGCAAGCGGCTAAAAATTGATATGATGGAAAGAGAGTGAAAAAACTTGGAATTTGGATGGCATTTGAACAAGGCGCACGATGCCTTCATGCAGCAACCGATTCTGTCGTTCAGCGGCTGTGTCATCCTGACCACGACGGGCAACACAGCTGGTAGCCTGGTAATGGTAGGCTGGTACGAGTACTATTCTCCATGGAGGCCTGTTTCTTTGACCACCGTGACTTCCTGCCTCCGTGGCTCCGGCTTTGTGTGGAGAGACATAAAAAAAAAAGAAAAACACATCTCTTGGCCACTCATTCTAGCCTTTGCTTCTCCTAGTCTTCTTGTCCTAACTTTATATTAGTTCAATCATCGTCTGATCTGATCTGATCTGATCCAAAATAAACCGAGTGAATAGTGAGTTTTCTTATTCCTGCAGTACAGGTACAGCCACGACGGCTCGGGAATTCTATGGCTCTATTGGATTATATGGAAAAATTCCTTTTCATCTAAGTGGAAGGATCCTGTATTTTTTTACTAGGAATTTCGCTCCCTCGAAAAGTTTTTCTTTGGAGAAAACCAAAATAAAAAAACTTTATATTAGTTCAATCATCGTCTGATCTGATCTGATCTGATCCACAACCACAACCTCGACAATTTTTTCAGCTTCTTTGATTACCGTTCGTTTATCAAAAGCACCACACACAAAAACAATATATAAAGCGCAAGCAAAATATGGTACCGAACATCTTAGTCAATGAATATTGAATCCTAATCCACGCCATTTGTCCAAGTGATAGGTACTGTGCTACTTTTCGGGGGGGACAGTAACATCATTGTCCTTTCGGCAGACCCATCGCAGATCAAAATCTCATGCAATCTTTTGAAGCCTTGCGCCTTTTTTCTTCCATGCTTATCCGATGATGATGCGTCAAGGCTGCGAAATGCAGCAGCCGTCAGTCTGTGTGACGCTCTGTCTTACGCTCGTGTACTGTAGCGAAGGGCGGCTCGGATTGCAAGAGCACCAGCTTTTCGCCCAAACGCTCGCTACCAATCTATAGTTACATTCTTTTCTTTTTAGGACGAAGGTAATGACTGAAATGTGTAAATTCAGATGCATATCCATTGGGTTACTTCATGTTATTTCTCAAAATGTTACATATGGATTTAATTTTTCAAAAAAAAACTCCTATAATATCCAATGTCAATTATTGTCTATAATGATTAGTCTCTACCAGATCGATCTCGGTAATGATTAAATGTAGAGGCTTCGATTAGTAATCAGCACTCAACCTACGACAAGTCTATAACTAGTATTGCTCACACAGACATTCTAAAGCGAAAAGAGATTGGGAATCTGCTACTTTCATTGGTTTATCGCCAGCAATGAAAGATGCGCCACATCCTTAACGAAAATCAGTTGAAAAATGTCGGTTTCTTGCACTTCGTCAAACATCATCATTAGGGCACGTACAACGGACGTCTTTTTCCCGTCTCTTTGATGACGATTTTGCATAAACCCCCCCAATGTAGCGGAGAGACGAGCGCCCCATCGCCTCGCGAGGCGACGGGCTTGTCCCGTGCTCCCAGACGGAAGAGGCGTCCGAGGCTCCGTTGTACGGCCTCGTCGTCTAGAGGCGACGGCGCGCCCGGATCTCGCGTGGGCAACAGCCTTCGGCGCGCGCGGGAGCAACGACGATTTGGGCGCGCGGGAAGTTTCCTCGCCAAATCATCTCCGCCCGCCATATCTCCCTCACAGGTGCTCCAGTTCGTCACTTTCCCCAGTCCCTCTCATCCATCTCCACCTCGCCCTCCTCGCCTTCGATTTAGGTGCTGCAGAGATGTCTACACCGGTCAGAGCTAGAAAGAAGAAGGGATCCACAGCTTCGGCGTTGGATGCGGCAGCGGCGGCCCCATCCCAAACCCTAGGTCGTGGTGGTGGCTCGGCGCTGGGGGCTCTCTCCCTTGAGCGTGGTGGCGGCGCGGTGCTGGTGGCCCGCTCTCTCGGTCGTGGTGGACGTGGTGGCGGCTCCGCAGCAGCAACGACCCGCCCAACCTCCATTGGCGTCGACAAGGGCACGACGACGGCGCCAGTCTCCATTGACGACGGATCCAACGGATGTGGCTTCCCCAACTCTTCGGCGTTCACCAATGGATTCCCGTTCCCTCCTTCTGTTTCCTACTGTTCTTGAAATTTTGCTTTGGGTGGTAGAAGTAAACTCTGATTCCTACTGTTCTTGATAAGTTCAATTCATCATTTGGACTGATACCAGCATCAACAAAACATGTGGTGCCATTGAGTCGTCCAAGCAAAAAAATTGAGCTTGGCCTTCAACTCTAGCGTGCCTGGTGGTGTTGGGCAGTTTGGGCAGTTCAGATTTCAGAGTTTCACAAAAAAAATTTAGTGTCAGCTCATAGTTCAGAGTTCACATAAATAATTTTAGAGTTCAGATTTCAGAGTTATGATGTTGTTCAATGCTTCATTTTTTTGTGTGTGTAGGTTATTCTTAGTTGGAGCTATGATGTTGTGTCGAATGAAGTTTTGGACAAGGGCTCAGATCAAGTCTTCTGTTATCTGTTAGCTATCTAGTTCATGTATTAGCTGTCTGAAACATTGGTGTTATTTTAAGTTATCTAGGTTGCTGAAAAACTTCTGAACTGTCAGCGATGTTTTCCTGTTATCCTGCATGAACTGTGAAGTTTCAGTTAGTGTGAACCAGTCAGTGTTTTGTTTAAGTTTCTGAATTTTCAGTTAGTCTGAACCAGTCAGTGTTTTGTTTATCATGCTGATGTATGGAGCTTTCATGTTGAACTGGTGAACCAATCAGATGATGTGAAAAGTGCATGGCCTTGTTCAGTTAGTGTGAATAGAGCATGGCCGTGTTCTACTATCAGTCTGAACTCGTTGGTAGAATAATATCAAATAGCAACACAGTGGTCTACAAAGTTTATTTATCATTTATCTTGGCTACGTGCAAAGCATTAAACAGCTTGTAGATAGTGCAACACACTCTCCATTGTACGACCTTGTTTTTTTAGCTGTTTGTTTGCTAGATTCAAGGGTGTTGCAGATGACCCCGTCTGTGGGTTGTACGTGCCCTTAGAGCTACTAAGTGAAAGCCGTGGTCGTTCCACAATCAAGAAAACTGAAGTTGTGGTCAGCGCTGACGTCTCTGCTGCTGCCTGCTGCTGGTACAAAAACTCCGTTCCTCTCCCCGTCCCCGGTCCAGCTCAGATCGCGCGCAGATTCTGTGTCCCTTGACGGCTTGACCCACCCGACAAAAGGTAGCCCCACCCCGTTGACGATGTGTGTTTCAGCTGTCCACACGAGGCAATCGTTCCGATCGAACCAAGGGGCAGGTTGGTTTCAGAATTCAGACCAGATGCGCTGCAACTGCAGCTGGTCGCCGGCCGATCTGATTGCAGATTTGCGTGACGGAGAGAAGCTCAACACCAATGGAGTGAGCCAGTGAGGTACTGCAGCACGCACGAGGAACAAATAACGGGGCGACTCATTCACGGCATTGGCACCCTGGCGTCTCCCTTATCGGTTTCCAACAGAACAGGGCCAAATGCCCACTTGAGAATTGGGATCACGCACGTGGAGGAGTCCAACGTCTAGATGATATTCAAAGCAAAGGCCTTCTAGAGCGTCTGAGCGAGCTCACCACTCTGCTTGTAGGTTGTAGCCTTGTGCCCTGCCAACTCCCGCGACCTTTGGAGTCTCATCAACGTGTTCAGTTCAGATTAGCCAGTCGACGCCATGGCGCACTCAACCTGTCAATCCTTTCGCCGTTTCCTATAAAGCTCTCGCTGCTCACAGAGTCACGGCAGCGCGGCAAGGAAGTCGAGACTCGAGACGACAGAGAGAGGAGTGAGGAGAGGAGAGGAGAGGGTGATCCACATCCACATGGCGTCGAGCCTCGTTCCCAGGATCATCGTCCTTGCTCTTGGCGCCGGGGCGTTGGGGTTCCCCGACGCGCTCCGCCTCCTCCTCGACATCGCGGGGCGGCGGAGCCCCCTAACCGACATCGCCATCTGCGTCTTCGCCATGGCCGTGGTCACCGCCCAGGCCCTCGGCGCTATGCTGCTGGTGCGCTTCGTCCGCAAGGCACCGCGCGCCGGAGGCGACGCGCACGCGGCCGGCGCGCCGCCGTCGCCGCCGCCGCGCACGGACCTCTTCGCGCAGGTGACCCTGGTCGTGTCCCTCGGCGTCGCCTTCCTCGTCTCCGCGTGCCTCCTCGTCGCGTCCGGAGCCGGTGCCCGAGGCCTCGGCCTGCTCTGCCTTGTTGTTGCCGACGTCGCCAGGAAGATGAAGAGCCTCGTCATCATCGCGGCCCTTGCCACCGGCGCCGCCGTCCTCCCCTGCACCAGGCCTCTGCTCCGCGTCTTCGGCGAGGAGGGTCACTCGCAGGGGACGGCGACGGGGACGGGGATGGAGCGCTTCGCCAGCATGACCCAGGTGGCGAGCTTCAACGGGGCCGCCGCCTTCCTCCTCCTCGCCGTGTCCGGTGGCCTCTACATACAACGCGGCTCCCTCGTCGACGTGGCCGTTGGCGTGGCCGCGGTCATCGGCACCGTGCTTCTTGCCCGCTTCACCTTCACCTGAAAGGCGCGTAATGCCGCCGGCGCAGGTGGCCGCGCTGCCCCTGCTTCTGCCGCGGACACGCGGCGCGTCGGCGGCAAGCTGACGAGGCTGGCGCCGTACCTGGCCGTCGTCTCCTTCGCCCTCCTCCGCTGCCTCGTCCTCACCACGTATGCGCCGCTCGAGAGCGGGCCCGACGGCGCCAAGTACCCATGGCCATGCTCTGCTGTCTGCTCGATTGATGTCTGCAACGGGAACCGCAAGGCAGCTGTCGATGTTCCGTGGTGGCCACTGGCCAGTACTAGTACAAAATAGGAGTACAGTCTACAGAGGTGGCGAAAGAAAAAAAATTAAGAACTTGCATGGCATGTGTCTATGTGAGCATGTTGGGACATTTTGGGTGGATTTCTGTTTGGCCATTCTGCTTGAACAACCATGGAACTATGAAAACAACAAGGTGCATATTTTCAGTCCTGAATTTCAAGGACCAATCCATTGAATTTTTCTGTGTTTCGTGTCACCCAGAAGCTCCAGTACGCAAAAGGCGAGGAGGATCTCCGTGGCTCCATGAGCTCGTTCGATTTGCTGAAACTGACCGAAAAATACTGTTCTGTCTAAATTGTTGTGAGAGAAAATACTATTACAACTAAAAAAACAAGCTGAATAGTGTCGTTTTTAAGGTAAGCCGAACGGGGCATAGTCGTGTACGATGTAGACCTGTAGCCCACCGATTGGGGCAAACCTAACAGTCCCAAGAAGCTCTTCCCCGTCGTGTCGATTTGCAGTTTCTGATGGTTGTGTGCGGGGACTATTATTCTATCTAATCTAATCATCAATCAGCCTATCGGGATTCGTGAAAGACACCTTTGCTAAGGCAAAAGGCCACTGCAGTTGCATTGCATTGGTTCATAAAAAAAAAACGAGCCACCAGTTCAGCACTACTCCCATAGTCAAATTCCACCCACACCTGACAGCAGCTAGTGAGTATATGAAAGCCAGTCTTTGACATCCAACTGTGCAGGCTATGGCCATCTGATAGAAAGAATCTCATGTGTAAAATTGATGGCCGTAGAGTTTTCAAAGCCTTGTTTTAATTTACTTGCGGCCTTGCCTGCTTATCCGATGAAGCGTCAAAAGGCTGGAAATAGATGCAATCTCCAGTCACAGTCAGTCACTGGCGACTGGCGTGTCCGGACTGTGCCACAGCCCACAAGCGAAGCTAACGGCGGAAAATTGACCTGCGGCTGTGGCCGTTGGTCGCCGACGTTGCCACACCGAACCGAATTGGCGATTGCAGATAGTCAGGGGGTGTTTGTTTCGCACCTCCTAAGGCCCCGTTCGTTTTACCAGATCCAATTCCCCCAAGAATTTAATTAATCCAAATGGAATGATTCTGGCGTGGTTTTGCTCTGATCCTAAGGCAGTTCCCCAGAAGAATTAATCCAAGTCTGGAATTAGTTGATCCACTTGCTGTCACTCATTTCAGGCCAAGGTTTAATTCCTCAGCAGAACCAATCCAGGAGGCTCCTATTTGTTGTTCGGTTTAGCCAGGGATCAATCCAGGGCTGCTGACAGCATGTATACATATCAAGCATTTAACTGACACATGAAAATATGATCAAGCTTGAAACAATTCAAATTACCATACAAAGCAAACCAAACAGAAACTTCACGACCTGACAAACAAATATAAGTGCTTGCCATCAACAAAAATTAAGATTTAAACAAACATGAAGGCTGTTGAACATAAATAATAAGCTGCAAGTTCTATTTAACAATGGTATATTGGTGCCCATGGCATAAGATAAGCTTCCTGTCGATGTTTGACCACCGATAGCCTGCCACGGGGGTCTCCGGGACAGTATGTTCGGGCTTCAGCGTTTGCGGAACTTTCGACGGTGAACGCAAGAGACAGTCGATTTATTCTGGTTCGGGCCCTCGATCGTGATCGAGTAACAACCCTACGTCCAGTCGGCGTTAGCCTTGCGTTGGATTGATTGTGTGTTGTTCCAAAATCCCACTTGTCCGCTAGAAACCCCGTCCTCCTTTATACATCAGGAGGTTAGAGTCCTAATCGGTTTACAATGAGAGTTCCTAGTAGAATTACATAATAATACTACTACTAGGATTATATGGAAGGAGACCTAGTTAGACTAGATCTTCTCTTTTCTTTGCGGGGTATCCTGTGGGTCCCGCATCGACACTTTCATTTAACCATGGTATATTGGTGCCCAACGGCCGAACTATTACTAATCTACAAGAAACAGGAAGCAACTTCACACCAGTCACTCCTCTAGTGATATACTTTTGTAACTCCCACTTGCTCCAGTAATTCAGTATCTTCACCTGCTGGTACAACTGCAAGTAAAAAGGGTATGCATTATTGGTCATTGGGCTCATGAGGTATTATACTGTATATATAGATTTTCAACTCAGATACAACTTATCACTAGCCCAACATGATAACACGATTAGATCTTGGTGAATATTGAAACTGTACAGCAAGCTCTCCCAAATCTACAACCAATTCTTTCATTTTGTATTTAATGTCTGCTCTTGACACATTATGTATCTAAGGCTTCTTTACATAACAGAATTAGCCTACAGTATTTGTTAGTATATGTGGACAGATTCAAATTTATGGACCTAGTAAAAGGTTTACATGTCCAAATCAATCCTGAAATAATTAAAAAATCCATATAACATGGGTCAAAATTGCCAACAATAAAAGCATCAATTTACTGCTAACTCCGTTTTGAACCTTGCTGTTCTGATCCATTTTGCTTTCTGTCAGCTTGGATCACGGTGGAGAGTAAAGCACAAGAGTGAGCAGACACAAGTACCTAGCAGTCATCTGGTGGTTGATATTAAGCTAAGTACATCGCAAAGGTACAGCTGGATAATGATTTCTCCAGTGTAGCACCCTGTTTTTTCTACCAGATAGCTAATACTACAGCAAGCTAGCAGTCCAACATCACGAGCAAACTAGCACCTCCCTACAGCAATCCAGAAACATCAGTCCAGAAGCAACAATCATAGAGAATGTGGAAATGCTACAATTGATAAGAGCACAAAAACAGACACCAGAAGTGAAATACATCCCGATCGTCACTAACTAGGTATTTCACTACTAGTACCCATGTTCAGAAACGAGATTATTAGTCATCAACCATCCAAGAAACAGCAGCCTAGGGTTGCTTTTAGAGCAAATGACGTCTCACAAAGATTAGCCAATTAGCATGGTTCGAGCAGAATAGTGCTGAATAGACTAGTTTCAGAAGTTGGCACCTAGTAGCAGGCTCTAATCAGTAATCTGGCACCTAATAACAGCAACAGATGGGGCTTCAGTTTATAGTTAAAATTTGCAATAAAATTAATCTCTCACATGTCCATAAGCATATATAGAGCACATAAAGAAATAAGCTGTCGTCAGTTGCTGCAGAGTTATCACTTAATCAAGCATAGTAAATAATGTACATACAAGAGCCAAAGAAAAATATTGTAGATTCAAATTCCTTCAGTCTGTGACTATGAGGCCAACACAGAGAGGAGAGGAGACAAAGGTAAGTGCAACACAGTGGTGGAGGAAGGTAGAGCTTGAGTTGTTGCCAAAAGCTACAGAGTGAATGACAATGGGTTCCTCCTCCTCCTCCGAGCTGCAAGCCAGTGCACTCCCCCTGCTCGTCCAGCTCCTCCTCTACATCTCCTACCACCTGACGACCAAGAAGAAGAAGAAGCCCACCACCCACGGCCTCACCGCACACCCGCTCCTAGGCCACCTCCCGTCGTTCCTCGAGAACCGCCACTGCTTCCTCGACTGGTCCATGGACCTCATCGTCGCCAGCCGGACCTAGCGACTGATCTAGCGAGGATCGAGCGTAGGCAAGCAAGAACCCTAGTGCCAGCGAGAACCCTAGCACCGGGGAGAGAAGAGGGCAAGGAGGACGAGGGTGGTGCATTACCGGTGAGAAGGCGGCGGAGAGCGCGGACGTTGGATGGGAAGCGGTTGCCGTCGCCTCGTGCCGCACCGTTTCCTTGTGTCGCGTCGGCCCCTCGCGATGCACCGTGCCGTCGCCTCCGCTCACTTCGCGGCCTTCGCCATACGCCAGGTTATGTCCGTCTCCATTCCGGGGGGAGGCCCGGATTGACCACTTCTCGTTCCGGGCCATATGTAACCGAACGCTCATTCCTGCTCCGACCTGATTTTGAACCGGCCCTATTCGATCCGGGCGGAACACGCCGCGTTCCAGGCCAAAATGAACGACGTCTAAAGTTTAGTCCATATCACATAAGATATTGGACACTAATTTAGAGTATTAAATATAGACTAATTACAAAAACTAATTGCATAGATTGAGACTAATTTGCGAGACGAATCTATTAAGCCTCATTAATCTATGATTTGACAATGTGGTGCTATAATAAACATGTGCTAATGATGGATTAATTATGTTTAATAGATTTATCTCGCGAATTAGTCACGGCTTCTGTAATTAATTTTATTATTAGTATCCGAACACCCAACGTGACACCCGATGTGATACTCGATGTGACACCTTCTAGACTTTAGTCCCTGGATCTAGGAACTATCCTCATGAAATATCGCAAGCCATGAAATAGCGCACGTGACGCTCTCTGAAGTATTCAAGTCGTAATCAAAGGCCTTGAAATAAAGGGGTTTTAGGAATAGCCAAAAGGAAACCACCACCTTTCGGATATTCTATCTTTGTCCTTTGTCTTTTCTTATCTATCTTTGACTAAGGTAGCATTTGGTTGGGAGACAAGGGGGGGTGGGGTGGGGTGGGATGGTCCTGTCTCTGTTTCATGGGATGGAACGATACCATTTTTATTTTGGTTGCGAAGGGATGGACCAAACCCATTTTCTGTTTGGTCCGAAGACATCAAAAGCGAGATCAACCACTAATAGGTTGGGCCAATTTGTCATTTATTTTATTTTTTTTTCTTCCTTCTCTCCTTATCTCTTCCAGTCGCTGCCTCATCCGCTCGCACGACCCCACGCCTCCGACGGCGAGCACCCCGAGCCTCCACCGTCGGCGACCTCCCTGCGCTCCTATGCCCTGCACCCCACGCCTCCTCTGGCCCACCCCCCACATGTCTTTTGCCCATGCCTCCTCCACTAGAGCATGCCGGGGCCGGGCATGGCGGCTCGTAGCTCGTCGGGGCCGTGCACAACGGCGTGCGACAAGGCCACAGGCGGTGCTCGCCAGGGCCGAGCGTGCCCGCATGCGACGAGGCCGAGGGCGGAGGCTCGCGATGAGGCCAGACGTAGCTCGCATGTGCCAGTGATGGAGCCC